GGCAGGGTTTCCTTCACGAGCCCTTCCAGAAGGAGAAGGAGCGACTGCTCGGGGCTCGCTGCTTGTAACGGAGGGGACTGGTGAAAGAAATCCCAGGTTTTCACTTAAATAAAGGTATAAGCGGGAGGTGCTGAAGGTGCCACGTTGGAGGATTTTTAAACAGGCACGGCTACTTCAAGCACCTTCAGCAGTTTTCAGCTTTTCTTGGTGTCGTTTTAACGTGTAGCACGTTCAGTTTTCCTTGTAAAAAAACTGAATAACTTGGTGCCACTCGAAGATCCCTTGTAATTCCTCGGCAGTCGTAATTTCAGCTGCGCTAACTCCCCACCCCCTTCGAGGATCTTCTGTTTAACAAGTCTTGTAAGCTAACCCTCTCTCGTTTTGGTAAATGGTTATTTTTTTTTGAAGCATCCCATGTAAAATGCTGCGGGTCCACTGACAGCGGTGGTGTTCTTTGTGGGTTCTGCTTCGTAGTTTGAGTTATTCACTTGTCCCGTGATACCAGGGGTAGGGGAGCCTAAAGGGGCTTAAAGCAGTAAAACTGCAAACGACGTGTCTTGTAGGAATAACCTGCTCGCCTGCAGCATTAAACCTTCAGCCCTTTGACGGAAGAGCCCCTGCCATTGTAAAACTTAATGGAAGAATAGTTTCCAGGACATTTTGAGAAGAAAAATTCTAGTGCTGAATGGTGCCCTCTCGGTTTCCACGTAGTTTTTTCAGCAGCTGTTTCATACGGGGGTAGTCCTAGTCATTGCTTTAAAGTAACTCCTTTTTTGGTGTAGCTGCAGTCCTTGTTTGTTCCTTACAGTAGCTTTTGAGGAAATGAAACACGGTTGTACTGCTTACCCCAGCCTCTCCATCCACAAGTTCTGCTTATTCAAAATTAAATGCCTAATGAGTATAGAACTACTTAACATGCATGCCTTTGTCTTTAAAGTGATGGTAAATGCTTTATATTTTAAATAACTTAATGGTATTCCTTGTCTGTAAAGCCCGTGTTAAATACGGTGAATTAATTAGTTTCTCTTTCTAGCGCTAGATTGGCCTCTCTCTTTGGTCTGGATCAAACAGTCTCAAGCCACGGAAATGAATTCTTCCAGTACACTGCACCAAAGCAGCCTAAGAAGGGTCAAACGGCAGCTGGCAAGTAACTGGGCTTGAGCATGGGGAAAAAACGTGGCAGCATGTGTCTTGCTGGGAGAATGGGGGCCTTTGTGAAGAACAGCAGGGCAAAGAATTCACTTAGCTTTTCTTTAATGATACTCTCTTCCTTTAGTACCCTTTCTGCACCTGGTTACTCCAGTGGCCTTTGGTGACTTTGGAATATCACTCTGTTTTTTCGTTCTCTTCTGGAGTTATTTTTTCCCTGGGGGAAGGAATGTGTCGTGGCGTTGTCACCGGCCAGCGAATGCGGCAGCTCTGTATCACTGACAGGTGTTCCTGCTTTTTATTCTTCAGCAGGTCAGGCAGCCCAGAAGGCTCCTGTGGCCCCAGCAGCTTCAGGAGCACCGTCAGTGTTCGTGGCCACTGCGGTTCATGCTTATCGATAGTAAGTGCAGCAGTGGTTTCCTGCATGACCTTTTAGAGTCTGTGTTTTTGAGAGGTTAAGACCTAATTGTAAAGGGAAGATATTTTTGGATGAGTGGGAAGAGACCATTGCTTATAGAGGTGTGTCTGCATGGTAGAAATGCTACAAGTCGATGCAAGCTTCTG